AGTTGAAAAAAAATGTTTCTTCAATTGAATGGGCTTTTTCAGGAACGGTTACGCGTTTTCCAAATTCCAAGACAGAAAAGTTAGTAATTAATGGATGAAAAAAGAAAAACATGCATGGCTAACTCACCCACATACAACAATGAGGAAAAAAAAATTGGTGTCCGCATGACTCACATTTAGGTGACTAGAAAGGCAGTAAAAGCAACTCTATATATACCTTAAGGGGGTCTTTTGTCTTTCACAAGCAATTCAACTTATCATAACAACTTTAGTATTTATAATTATATAACATTGTCTTTTAATTCATCTTGGATCTTCATGTCTGCACAAAGTGACTTTGCCCTTCGAATTCCTGAAAACAATGTGTCTGTAGAGGAGGGTTTTGACTACTCGCAAAGGGGACAGTGGCTTCGTGCAGCTGTCCTAGGAGCCAATGATGGTTTAGTTTCGGTTGCTTCTTTGATGATGGGTGTTGGAGCCGTTAAACATGATGTCAAAGCCATGATTCTTACAGGCTTTGCTGGGCTTGTTGCAGGTGCGTGTAGCATGGCAATTGGAGAATATGTGTCTGTGTCCTCTCAGCTTGACATAGAGGTATCTCAGGTTAAAAGGGAGAAAAGAATGGGAGTAAGTAGTGAGGAAACTGAGAATGAAGAGTTGCCAAACCCCATGCAGGCGGCTACAGCATCGGCCCTTGCGTTTATGTTCGGGGCTATTGTGCCGTTGCTTGCTGCTTCCTTCATAGTGGACCATAAGGTGAGACTGGGTGTGGTTGTGGCTGCCGTAACAGTTGCACTGGTGGTGTTTGGATGGATTGGTGCTTTTCTAGGGGGAACTCCGGTGGTGAAGTCTTGTCTTCGGGTTCTGGTGGGAGGTTGGCTGGCTATGGCCATTACATTTGGGTTGACCAAGTTGATTGGCTCCAGTGGACTATGACTTTAGATGCCATTGTTGTTTTCTTCTCATCGAATTTGTTCTTTTTCTTTCGTATAATGCTGTTTTGGAACCCTAGTTTTCTCGAGACAAATAAGTAATAAATGAATAAAAAACATTGCTCCATAACTCGGTCAAAATCTACTTCGTTACATAAATGTACAAGATATATTTTAACAAAAAAAATAAAAATAAAAAAATAATATTTACAAATGTTTGTGATCGCTTTTGAAAACAATTTATTAATTTATTGATTTTTATAAAAAAGTATAGTAGTTAGTAACTGAAAATCATTTTTGAAACAACTTTTCTATAAGCTTCAAAAATGAATTTTATAAAACACCTAAGAATTTATTCTTTGAAATGCTTTTGATTTTTTTATTCTAGAATTACCATAATATCTGTATTTAACCTTAATAACATATTTTTAATCATTTTATATGTAAAGGCTATAAGCCATACTTTTTAAAAACAAATTATTGTTTTTTATTACCATAAAAATTAATTCAAACACTTTTCAAAAATGTTTTTATAAAAGCCAAAAGTCAATAAAGACTTTCACTCAAAAACATTTTTGGGGTTCAAAAATCAATTTCAAACATAACCTTATAACAAAAAGCAATTTCAAACATAACCTTATAACACTTTAGCAAAAACCTAAGAAATTAAATAATGTTCCAAATACCAACTTATATGCTCATTTTCTAGACGATTTGAGGGGCTAATTAATAATAGATGTGATTAATTAAGTATATATTATACGGAAGAAGTTCGTACATAGCCTCAACTTAAAAGTTAAAATATAAATAGTCTAAATTTTAAATATTATATTTATATTTTATAAACTTTCAAAATATTGGATTTATCAAAAAAAAATTTTAAACTTTTATAATCATTTAAAATTTTTATTTTTATCAGTTGACTATTATATATTCTTCTTATAAATCTAAGTTTAAAATATTGTCTATAACCATCACAAACTTTTAAAATATCATATTTATCTAAATTCTTACATTAATTAATTTTATTTAATTAAAAACTATAAATAACTAAATAGTTGAATCCTATTGAACTAGATTTTCATGCTCGTCACTCTATTTTCATCGTTGAGGCTTGAATAAAAAAAAGTAAGATCAATATATTTTTGTATTGTCAATGTTGCACTGCACGGTAATTGAAAGATGTAAAGATATTTGGTACAACCATATCGGATCAAGGTGGTTTTGGGTGGTGGAGCGTGCATGGGGTGATGTTCTCGTTTGACACTAGATGGCCATACCGTCCCTTCTGTATAAAAGTCAATTGATAAAAAATAAAGATTTAAAATGATTATAATATGTTTCAAAATGTTAAAAACAAGGATTTAAGCAAATATGAAAATATGAGATTTTGAATGTTTATGAAAAATGTATATAATATTTAGAAAATTAGATTTGAAAAATATAATATTTTAATATTTAAAACTGGTATATACAAAATTCTCTTTTATTATTTACATGTTTGTAGTTTACAGTACGGTATTGTTTAGACTATCACATTACATGTTACTAATGAATATACAAAAATCATCAAATAGTCCTTGATATTTATTTGAAAACAATGTTAAAATGAATATACAAATTAACAATCATCAAATTAAGCTTATTAATGTATATTTTTATTAGATATTATTATAAGGAAAACATTTCATGTTATACTCATTATTATTATAAATTATTATATTAATATATATATATATATATATTAAAGTTGTGAAGAAAAAGAACAGTAAACTGCCCATTTATTTGGCAGAATTGGTCCCTTAAGTTACATTCCCGGTCCCTGTATTTTTGTATATATTACAATTGTTGTCCCTTAGCTACAGTATCTAACCAGGGTGCTAACCACGGTACTCTTACTCGGTTAACTTCCTCAACCATGGTAACCGCCACGTCTTATCTCTCGATCCTTCCTCATTCCACTATCCCAGAAACCCACCGCCTCATAACCCCGCTGAGGTTTTCCTCTTCTTACACCTGATCGGATCGTCGGTGGTGGCTTTCTATATCCCTTTTGCGGCTTCCTCCACCGGGGTTAAACCACCGACGCAACACCCATTATGATTCGGTGCCAACATTCAAATCACATTTGGAATCGGAATCGAAAGGGGAAAACCCATCACAGCCTCCGCTCCTTTCCTCCGATTATTCGATTCCACCACCTTCATTACTCCTTCATACTAAACCATACCCCTCCTATTTCACTATTTTGCTTCCTTCGATCAATGGAAAGCAGGTCGTAGGGAAGGCACCTTCTGGCCACCACCATAGATATCGAGCATGGAAGGCAGCGAAAGGCAATCGACTAAGGTATACGACCAATTTATGTTTCTTATTTCATCATATATCTTCGGTTTTCCCCTTTCATTCACATATGTCATCGACTCTTCTCACGTCTACAGGTTACAGGTGGAACTATGGGGAACTGTGAAGAAACATAGGACTGTAACGCTGTCAATACCCCTCTCTGGATATTTTCAAATATACAGGTTACACCAAATGAACAAAAAGGTATGACTATATCAGATGAGTCCTATCAGAATAAGGGATGTACCATCTTCTTCATCCGTCATTACTTGATTTCACATACTCTCCCTACTTATGTTTTTTTCCCTTTAATTGATGCCCTTACTTATGTCGATCCTGTTTACAAATATGTTGCAGTTTCATATGAAATTAGTTATGACTTAAGTTTAGTTAATCTGATACTTTTTTCTTGGATCATGACAGGAGGATTTCTTAAACAGATTACACATTTCATATGATAGTTGAATTCCAGAACATCAGGTACACATGAATTTCAACTACCGAATATTTAGTCCAAAAAATGAAGTGATGATCTCATTTCTTTCTGTTAAATTGTTGGCATAGGAAGCATTGAGGGAATTATGGAAAGCTGCATTTCAGGGGCGGTGGGTTCACTATAGGACAATATATATATTGTATATTTAGGTTGACAAATCATCAATCTTTCTGCTCAATTTGGGGTAGACATTTACGGTTACAATTTTTTATACTTTTATAAATCCGTAAATCATTTGAAATTTAAGCATACGGTTTTTGGTGGAGTTGATCTCTGGTTAGTGTTTAACACCTATTCCTGCTCTTTATTACGAATTTTACACCTAATTACAAGAAATATTACTAACTGGGTCGAAGTTTGTAAACCAGTGCAAATATACCAATGTTGGTGCTAGATTAATTCCATTAACAAATCATAAGATGAATTTGATGACTTGGATAAAGAATTTGATCTCCCTTTTAGCAATCAAATGCAGCGGTTGTCTAAAGTTATAATTTCGCACCCCAGGTGTTTGATGGAATGTCACGGAGAAAAAGGCAAATTCCTTCAAACCAAATTTAAAAAGCCTCAACAAATGTTGAAATCGGTCAGCTGATGCCGAAGCGGGTATGTGTGTGGATAATTAGGTCTTTTAAAATTGAATTTATAATTTTTAGAGCTTCATATACTGATTTCGATAACTTTCATTGCGTATTTGTATTGGATTATGTTTGGGTGTTTCTTTACTAACCAGCTATGTTTATCCAGTGTATGCAAATTTCGTATGAGAAATTAAAGGGGAAGGAGAAAAACCAGGAGAAGCTCAGAGAAGAACAAATGTTGATTTAATTACCACATTGCTGACTTTTTTTGCGGTTTTATACCTTTTCACTTGATTTTTTATTAAAACAGGGGAACAATAGACGCATTAAAGAAGCAGCTATATGGTTCAACATCTTTTTTTATTCTTTTCTTTGACTAGAATACAGGTAATTCATTATTTTTCCGATTTGTATTATTGTAGGGTTAATTAGGCATATCAGTTATCCAAAGTGTTCCTAATGTTCCTCTCATAATCACCAACATGTGATTTCAGATATTATAAAGTAAAATCTAATTTGAAAAAAAAATAGATTTTTATTTATATGAATCATTTACAGCCTGTTATATTTTTATTGTAATTTGCGGAAAGTGGGGAACCATTAAATTGTAATTTCTGTAAATCGGGTGGATAATGTTCATAAACGACCCTGGATTTGATTTCAATCCTGGTGCACTGCTGCAAGAAACGTATATGTCATATAATTTTGAATTGGAATTAGAGATTCCATTCCATGGTTGCCGAAGTGATAGAATTCAATTTTGTTCTTCCTTTTATTGATGGAAAGACCAAAATGCCCTTCTGAAAACACTCTGCTAACGAAATTATTTGTTTCAGGTATCTTTCTTATCGAAAGCCGAAAAGGTTCTAGAAGGAACAATACAATAGAAACATAAAAGAGATGTAATATATTTTGTGCCCACGTAGAAATGGATGTGGAACTTGCAGGAAGTGACCATATTTTAACCTTTTGGTCCATGTGTGACATGTTAAATGTTGGACATTGCAGGTAACATTCAACTTTCATAAATGAATTATTTCAAGCATTTTTCATTTGCGTATGATTGAAAATACATAAAATACCCCTCAATAAATGCTTGAAGTACGCCCTTTCAGAAGGATGTATGCATTATCATCATGCGTGGATACCCATATCTTCCATTTGTCTTAGCTTCACAGCTGTATCATGGCCACCCCTTTATTTCTTGAATTCATGATGCTTTACAGGTAAATAAAAAAATAATAGTAAACTATAAACAAAATGAATTCAAGTATGTTTCTTTTTTATACTAATTTTGTCAAATTTTACAACAAGTTACTTGCTTACCAAATGACGACATATTTATGGGCATCATACTTTTTTTACTTAAATAAACACTTTTGAGTGTTTAGATTAAATAGAATAGAAAAGGTTTATTTTCTTAAATAAACAGTTTTTTATTATTTTTTGATTAAAACATATCATTTTCAAATTTTTTTCAATCTATAAAAACTCTCTCATGTTAATGTTTATTATACCATTTTACTTATTTTTTTTGTTTTCAATTAATATTCAATACCTTGAGGTAGATTCTAATTGTGG